ACGATCTGGCCCCACAGGACTCGAACCTAGAACCAATCAGTCTCGAGCGAGGGCGCTTAACCGCTAGACCATTGAGCCGGCATCCAATGGTGTAAATATCTAACAAAAACCAATCCACGAAGTTGCGCCACCGTCCACTATTGTCATCAGTGAGTTACCATCTCACAACAGACCCGGTGGAACTCCACTGGTTACGGTTTCTCACTAGAACTGGAAGCGTTGACAGAGTAGCTTCATGTGTTGAGGTAATGAATACCATACATTGGTGATTAGATGGGGAAGTCGATAGTCAGCTGACAAGTAATTTGTTCTGGGCTAGTGAACTTTTTAAGAATGTTCTCATAAATTCTCTGTTTTGGAAGGCAATAAAAATGAGGCCATATCAGACACAGATTTATCACTAAGTTATAAAAAATTTGTGATTAAGTCGCCTCTGGTTCTTCTATATAGTATAATAATGGGAATAGGTTTAGTTTGGTTAGTTGATCATACAGGAGCAATCTTATTCCGGGAATCCGCTTAGTTGCAGTTCTTTGAACCTTTTTCAACCTCTCATTGTTTCTTTTTGGACAGGGTCTAGCCGCTTGTATGCAGTACTCGAGTTTAAGACGAACGAATACTGTATATAGAGTCAAGGTGTTTTAAGCATCGGCATGGCTAAAAAGGCTCTACGTATTGACTGTGCGGTTCCTGCTCTAAAGCCACGCTGCTTTTTAGAAAGAATCCGATTTTCGTCTAGATAATTAAACAGCTTCTTCCGAGTAATCTTTTTTTTAATTTTAACAACCATTCTATCTAGGTTTACAGGTTGGTAGTTCTCAGGTTTGTGTCTCGTACCTGTTTTGAAGAAAGGACTTCCTATAGCATTCTTTCAGTCTTTCGGTAATCAACCCTGGGTCACAGATAGATTAAAACATATGCTTAAGAGAGTCACGACAAAATTTGCTAATTCCTTTAGTAATCTAGGATGGACTCTATCCGGTCCCATGGATTTGCCTAGAAGGAGCTCATTTAGCAGACCAAAGACATCGAGTTCTCTAATGTTTACAGTACTCATTGTGTGTGGGGTGCGTGTGTGTTAACTGAAGGCGATGGAATATCTACGGTGTATACATTGCTAAAGTAATTTGAGAACACCTTAGTTTTACCATAATCGTCTTCCACTAATGATGCAGTACTACTGTTTCCCTATAATACTGGAATGTTTCCTCTTCTCTTATTTCTTTGTTTTGCGTACGAGCATAAGAGTTAAGGGTATTCTATAGGTTCCTTAACTAGTTTTTCTTCGTACAGCCTTCTCAACTTGCAGAGGGTTGAGGCACAAATAATTCGAGCTTCTCGATGTTGAGACTGTGTCTCGTCAGTACCCAGTAACTTAAATCTCTCCCGCATTGTTCCTTCTTAGGTAGATGGGCGAGAACCTCTTTACTGAGCCACAGTGGTAGGTTTCTCGAACCCTTTTGTGTAGTCCAAGAGATATACGGTGTAGTGACTTTTATTTACAAATTTCTGAATACCTCTCAAGCCGTTTCAACGAAGGATCCTTGTTCTATTTTCTAGTCTACTGAGGATGTTGAGTGTATAATTCCTCGTATATTCACTTTCCAGATGTTTGATCTGGCTTGAGCTGACACATTCTTGTTATTGACAACTATATGAAAATCAAATACTAAAACTGTTTGGTCACTTACCTAAGGGTGTTATATGATGAAGGTTTGTGATGTCATCCTCATCATGGATCAGTATGAGATCTAGTAAGCATGATTCAGAGTCCGGGTCGAAACTAGTTGCCTCTTTCACATGTTGCACAAGGGTACATGTAATAACCATGTTAACTAATTTCTGTTCGAAAGAATTTTTGACTTGAATATCCTGTTTAATACAGGTGAAAAATATGTTGGGAATAACTTCTGTATGATGTAAAAGTATTTTACAATCATGTTATGGAAAATTGATAATTTTACGATCCAGTACTATTAAGACCTATGTTAATATAATTTATCTAGTACATTCCCAACCACCGTAATCCCCAGTGTAATCTAAAGAGACTGAAAATATTGAATATAACATTGAAAAACAAATAGAACCTTGAGGTTTTCTCTTAAAATCAGCGAATAGTAAATTCTTATCAGGCTTTAAATTTACAGTAAAATTTCCTAAGTTGAAACTTTGATATGATTATATTTTAACAGAAATCATGAGGACGAATGTAGTAAAGGAAATAGTAATAGTGTGGTGATGTAGTGAACGAGAACTCAGGTGAAGCAAACCGGTAGATTTATTAGCGCTTAATTGATGAAATATGAAAACCATACATTAAATACATTATCTGAGTATCTTCCTTCCGCTGTTCTTTAGATACTTCATGATTCATGTTGTTATTACACTTGCTCTGTGTTTCTCTTCCTGTTCTATTTAATTCAATCTTCTGCTGATAAGCAGTCCACTTCCGACTGGTGCTACACACTAATTATATCTGTCAACATAAGTAGCATACACCACAATAACACTCATTTATACTTATATATATACTTACATGATCTTAGTTGAAAGTGTGAACCATTGGACTCTGACTCAGTGACCTGAAGGTATGGTACTGTGTAATCGAGAGCTATTTTGTCCAATCTCTACTATGGTTTTATGTGTGTTTAGTTGAGTTACGAACTAGGGTTAGGTAGTTGTTTATTGACAAATGCTTTTCAGTGATTTTCTATCTCACATCAGACCACAAATAAAACTGACTTCAACTGCATTTCTATAATTGTCTTGTTGAATGTGTTCTGCCCATCTATCAATTTTTCTGAATTTGTATACATAATTTGTGTTTTACAAGCCCTATCCTCTTATCTCACTCATCAATCCCCTTTCCCACCCTTACTTGTCATGCCCGTCCATCACTATAATTTAGTGTCATTATTCTATTGTGGGTAACCTATCTTGTGATTTGTTATCCGCCACTTTGCAAATGCTGTAGCCATCATAATGTTTATTCTTAGTGGCCTATTGGTTTATGTTTTAACCGTAAGATGCTCTTGGCCTAGATGCTTTATTTTACTAAACTCTCTGTTTACCTGCCTTTGCTGTACCATGTGAATCGTTTTAGATTGTTTGTGTTTGGTAGGTTTCTTGATGTGAAGCGTAATAATTGTGGTTATTTTTATGATACTGCAGTTATGATATTCTAATACAATAAATTGTATAGGAAAATGAATCATTAATGAACAGTAGGAATGGTGCTAAAACTGCGCAATTAAGAATTAAAGATCTTAGTAACAATCTGAATGACTAAAAGTACTTATACAGACAATAGTAGCGGATGTCGTTTTCTTTACCAAGATAGTTTATTATTATTATTATTATTATGAATGGTGAATGGTCATACAAGTCTCAGTCCGATAAAAACATTCTCAATGAAATGCTTAAATTACCTGATGGATTTGAGTATGTTCGAGGTTATGGCTTATAAGTGTAATTGGTTGGAGTTAGACAATAACACGGTTGGATTCCGACTCAGTGGTCTAGAAGTCAAGAGTTCGTGTGCGGGACGAAAGGTCCTGGGTTCAAGTCGCACGTGTTGGATCGTGGACGTGCACTGCTGAGGAATCACATACTAGAACAAAATGTCCATTGAGTGCTTCCAGATTTTCAATGGTGATCTAACATTGATGTAAAATACGTGAACAATAACTTCACTATCGATGTATTTCAACATATATCATTCACATTTGTTAAGGTTAATTAATTCTACTTTATCATCATTACCACTTTTGAATAAATGATTTCAAAAACTGTATTTTTTACGGATAGTTAATTTAGTCATAAATGTACAAAAGTGATCATCATAAAATGTAGGAGTATAATGATACAGTTTATTTTTACATAGATTGTAATTCTTTCTCATGCTAGTTAAAGAGAGAAGAACCTGATAGTCAACTGTGTATGATGAAGAGTGATTGTGATATACATACACATATACTAAATATAAGTATATATATATTCACAATTAATCATCATTACCATTTTCAATACAGATCAGGATAGAGATAATATGGACTATAATTGAAGTGAGGTGTTCATATACTTTATGAAGTTTTTTTCAGACACCATTACAAACAATTCATTATTAGCATATCAATATAAATATGTTAAATTTATAATTAGTCATTATAATATATGTAATGGGATTTCAATGACTCACTAGTGTCATATTTCTATGTCAGTAATGTTATTGTTAACTTTGGGTTAGTGATTTCTATACATTAATAAAATAGTCACTAGTAAGGAGGATTAGGATGTATGCTTCACTGATTAAGATACCTTATTCAGCAAAATTAGAAAGCAGTGATATGTTATGTTAGTTTATCTATGTTCTTTTAAATCATATGTGCTAAGTACATATGTTAGTTAAACACTGTAAATAATGCGCCGTTAACATTCTTCAACTGGGTAAACGTAAAGTGTATGTTGAAGTTAGTTACACTACTAAAAATCAATCACATCATTTACTATATTAGGACAGGCTATTTGATGAACACTATTCAGTTTGACAATCGTTGATATCATGAATTGTCTTGAAATTGGGCGACCATTTAGAATCAATGAAAAATAGAAAACTGTTCATTTCTGATTGACAACTCTTTCCATGTCACCATCTACAACCACATCAAAAATCGTGCATTGTATGACAATCGAAATACAGACTTCTAAAATTCAACTCATCAATCTAAAATACCTGAAGTTCCTGGATTTAAATGTTGGTTTTCATCACAGAGGAGTTGGAACAAAAGACAAAATATTATCGATTGCTTGCTAGTTTTCAGTAATTGTCTAGCCTAAGTCAATTCATAACCGTAAATTACTCTTGATTTCACTATTTGATGATCTCTTTTTTATAGATGCGAAATTTGAATTTCCCTGGAAAAGCATCCTTCTTTTTGCCTTAGACAATGTTGTTTCCATTTTTAATCTATCTAGAAAACTAAGCTAATCTATTTTTTAATCTGTAATTTATTAAAACTGTAAATTAATGAATCGCACCAAGTTATAATTATTCTGAATAGATCTCCGATTGTTCATTTATGTCGTTATAGTCTGCTGAAAATACATACCATAACATAACTCTTAAAAAAAAGACTCACAACTCAGTTTCATAACTGACGATAGTTGATAGGAGTACAATTAACAAAATGTTCATAATCTAGTTAAACGAATAACCAAACAGACAATGAAAGCTTCTCTACTCATTTAAGTGTATTTTTGTAATGACAATACATTTTAATTTGTGTATGAAAAGTTCCAGATCGTATATTTAGGGTAAGGGTCAAATAAATCAATTAAAGTTTGACATACACTACATTTAATTATAAATTTGAAAAAGAAACGTTTAAACAATAGGGAATAATTTGCTCAAAATGGGTCATAAGGTCGTACTGATAAGATTTAGGTTGTGGTGATGAGATAGTAATCTTTAAGCCTGTTTCTTAAGTTGAATGAAGGAAACACGCATAATTTCCAATCAAAAAACCCATTTAATAATGAAATCTTTAGATAGTGTAATATGATCTTGACTATTTAGTTGACAAATTTGCTCATTATGGTGATATGTAAATTTCACTGGATTATTGTTCAACATAATTTCACTGGGGATTTTACCGAGGCCAACAATGAAAATCAGTTTAAGGTCCAGTTCCTGGTAATCAATTTTCTCTAAGCTTTCAACACTCGAAGGTGTAGAAGTCACTGTTAAAGTACGATCACGTACTTCAAATTTCACATGTACATAATTTAAATTAGCATCATCTCCATTATCCCAGAATAATTCACCCGATGCTGTGATTCTCTGACCAGCAGCACTACTTCCATCATCAGTTGAAGACAAGATCACAAATAAACCAAATCCCTTCTTACGAGCGATATCTGTTGTTTCAGCAGAAACTTGTATTGGAACTATACACCCACAACGAATAGAAATCGGAATGACATTCAGAGGTGCATCGAAATATTTCCATGTACCTCGACTGAAATACCGTTTGCCAGTGGATAGGTCAATCCATTCTCCTGATGGAACGTAACCCTCAACGAATGTCCGACCCTCATCTAGCACTGGAGTAACTAAGATACACGATCCGAGCATGAATTGTGAATCGACTTTATGTGTGGCCAAGTCTTCAGGGAACTCGAATGCGAGGGCACGAGCCACAGTTGTTCCATTTAAGTACGATCTATAAAATAAAGTGTATATATACGGTAGTAAGTGGTATCTTATACGGAAAACCTGTTTTATAGCTTCAATCGTTTCTTCAGTCCAGTGTGCAGGGTCTTGATTGTTTGAACCATATGCATTATGATTTCGAGCGAAAGGATAAAAAGCACCTAACTGACTCCACCGGACACACAGTTCTTCTGTTGTATTTCCTGTAAATCCACATATATCAGCACCAACCATCGGAATACCAAACATATTAAAGTTAATGATTTGAACCACAGACGTTTTCAAACTCTCCCAATTCGATAAAACATCTCCTGTCCAGTGAGTGGCATACAAACCTGAACCTGCAAAGCTTGAACGTGTCAATATGAAAGGTCGTTTATTGGGAAACATTCGAGTCAAAACATTGTGCGTTACACGTGCCATATCATAACCATACATATTATGCAAATTATAGTGTGTTGTGTTGTAATGTAAGGCTGATGGACAAATTGTCTTGTCGTATAACGAGTTCTGACAAATTCTTGGCACAAAAGGAGGATTGTCAAGCGTATTCGATGATGGACAACCACTGAGTGAACCACAATTGAAATTGGCCGGTTCGTTCATGTCTATCCACAAACCGTCGAAGTTAATCACTTTGTGGAAATCAGACGCCGACTTGAACCACCAATCCTCAGCAGACGGATGTGAGAAATCTGGGAAAACTGTTTCCCCTGGCCACACCGTACCTAGAATCGGTGTCCCAGTTCGACTATCATTAATGAAAATACCGAGTCTCATACCATCCTCATATGGACGATATCCGGGACCACCTTTTGTGCTAATAGCTGGATCTACGATCAACACTGTTCTCATGCTATAATTCTTGCGTAAAACATCCCTAACAAAAACATCCATTCCACCAAATCGTTTCGTGTCCACTGACCAAATTTTGTATGCATCCATATAATCAATGTCAAACCACTGAGCATCTATCGGAATTCCAGCTTCCATATTTCGCTTGAGGACTTCTTTGACTTCATCCAGATTTTTTATTCCATATCTACAGATGTGAAATCCGAGTGACCAGTATGGGGGTATCGTTGGATGACCGATAAGATCATAATATTGATTTATTACATCTAGTGGTTTCGGTCCAGTGAATACGAAAAAATCTAATATTCCACCAATGGTTCTATATGTGATGGCTGGTAGAGGTGTTATTGCTACTTCTTGTGCGTTGCTGTTTAAAAAGAAGATTCCAAATGCAGTGCCATCATACTTTAAACCCATGAAGAAATTGTGAGTTCCATAAAGATTTAAATTTGGTTGAGGTATAGCATCATGTGACCATAATCCTAAGCGCATCCACTTGCTTAATGGATTTGGAAATACTTTCTCGAACTCTCCAGGACCAAAGCCTTTTTGTGCATATACACGGAATGTTATTTGTAAGAACTGATTTGAAATAATTAGAGATGAAGAAAGTGAACCCGTTGATTCCAGAATCACATCTTGTTTATGATTGTTTCGCATAATCTATAGTGATATATTTGTAAACAAAATGAAGTAAAACAACATTAATCTTATAATGATTTAGATGATATCATTTTAATTTTTCATTCATTGTATTCATGAATTAATAATTCATAGAAGTTTTGCAAGTAGCATGAAATTTCCTGTGTAATTTTACTATTATTTTTTTATTTGTACATGGTATATTTGAATTCTAATTGCACTGAAGTATTGTTTTCTTTACTGGTGTTAAGGAATCGAATAGTAAATATACATTTTGTTCTATCCCTATCAGTATAAAATTTGTATAACTGACGTTTCGCGACTTAGTGTAAGCCACTTCTTCAGAGTAAATAAATAACCGAATGAAATTAACACAAGTTTAAATTGTGCTATTTACACTAGTGTTAATTTCATTCGATTGTTTATTTACTCTGAAGAAGTGGCTTACACTAAGTCAAGAAACGTCAGGAATACAATTTTTATACTCATTGCGATATAACAAAAATATATTTATTATTAACTTTCTACCCAATGTTTAATTCATTTGAAACTGACAAGTCGAACCTTGGCATTAATACGTATTACGAATCGAATGTTCAACAGACTTATTATTTTTTAAATAAAAGCAAATTGTATTCCGAATATGAATAGACACTGTTAACATTAATCATACAATAGGGAATACTTGTCACTTATATTTGCATTACTTACTTAAATGTATAGATTATGTTACTCTGTACTGCTGTTTAGATAAATAATTAAATTTCACAATACTGATGATCGATAAATGACTTCAGTCGAAATCATATTCTGATGTACAAGAAATTTCTTCTAAATTTAGATGAAAAGTCTCACAGTAATTGGAGCCGATGTAATGTAAGACATTAAGGGGAAAATTTATATTTTTAAAAATCTTAGCGACTGAACTTTAAGTAAATTCAACGTTTTGCTCGGTAGTATGCTTCAAGCCTTTTCAAGGAAACATAACAAAATTTTGTATATGATATCAAATGTAGTGACTGTAATGGTACATGCACAGGTGAGACATCACGGCAGTTGAAAATAAGGTTGAAGGAACACAAACTTTGCTTGAGGAAGATCCCTAAATCCTCTGGAGTCTTGAAAAAACTAGGAAACAAGTCAGCGATAGCGTTTCACTTAACAGAGTCTGGATATACAATTGATTTCAATGGGACAAGAATCCTCCAAAAATGTTTTAGTTCATACAAAGAGAGACTAACAGCTGATGCATTACACACATGGGCAGATCCATAAAGTTTTAATAAGAGAGATGGAATACAATTAGCTCTTTCATGGCAACTAAAAATTGATAATTAAACCTGAACTACTTGTTACATTTTACTTTATTTAGTCCATCTTTTATCATGTGAAGAACAACGATTATTTTCATTTGTTCTTATCAGTTCTTTTATCTGAATATTTAATGAATAATTAGCTTGATCAACACAATAACACTAACTTCTTTGTTTACTTATCTTCATTTTATGTATGCTGTAACATGTTTGACTCATGTCATATACAAAATTGTTTGATTTCATCCAAAGTCACTGATTAGAGGGAATATATTGTCAATGTAATTTTTCTCACATCCGATCCACTTAAATATGCATACGACTGTCATCCTAAAATGAATTTTCTCTACTTCTTACACCAAATATTTCATTCGCACTACATTAAATCTAACTTTTAACATTGCTGTCATGATTGAACGACTTGTTTAGAATACAATTAACCAGAGAACAATATACTAAAAAATTAAAAAGAGACTATTGTGTTATCACTCATTGACTCAACTTATATTTTGCGTGAATAAGTCTTACATAACATCGAAGATTAAAACATGAAATAACTTACATTTCAGTAAAACAGTTCTATATTTGTAAGGAAATTATCAACTTAAGTCCATTTTTATTTACTTATTGAAACACAGATATATTGTTGCAAAGGAGCACCGAGTATATATGCGCCACACAAGTCACTTGGTTTGTATGCGGGCTGTGTTACTGCCCGGGTGGCCAGACAGAAGCAGGTGATTTTCTTAGGGGGCCACACCTGGGGCCTTCTACCTAAAGGTCTAATCCACAAAGCAGTGGAGCAACGTCAGAAGATGCAGTCCCATGGTAGCCGGTGAACAATAATTAGTTCATACTCCATTTGTTTCCTTAGGATCCTGGAGCCCATGTGTACTATTGGTTTGGGATTAGGGTTTACCAACTCCCCTAGGTGGATCCTCCGCATCCATCAACCTGGTTAAAGCGCCAGATATTCACTTTTCGTTCTCTCGACTTCGTAACCAGCACCCCCGCCATGAAAACGCAGTGAATAGGACTTTCCTGGCAGTGGCTGTGTATGTGTGACCATGTGAGAGTATTTCGAGAGGGAGAGTGGACGGAGTCCACTCTCTGACGTACCAGGACATTTGTTTCACTATTATTTTTTTAAAGGAATTGCATTTTAGGTAGCCCTGTACAGCCGTTTTCAATGTGATAAATCAATTTGAGCATAGTTGTTCATTAGTTGGTTCAAAAATAATGAACATGAGGTCATGAACAATATAGATGAAAGGCTTAAAATAGACTACCTATAAAGTGAATGAATACAAACAAATAAAATATGTTCGTTAATTTAGTGGTGCTATATGGACTTTTGTTTTTATTCAAAAACTTAATATAATCGAAGCAAATAGCCTATCATGAACAAGCCTTATCTAACCAGATTTCAAATGATACTAAAACAGATCTTATTAATAATGTTTCATGGGGTTACTGGCACAATAGTTCCTACGGGAAATTTCATTAACTGACTAGTTTTGATTCTACTGTTGTAGTAAATCATCAGTACTTTCTTGACTTGAATTTTTAGAGTACATACTAGCAAAGTCAATAAAATGCTGAGTAGATGATAAGAGATATGTATTAGCGTATAGAGGTTCCGAAACAATTAAGTTATTGAGCAATGTGCATGTACAAGTAGTTGTATAAAACTTAGTTTGATTTTCCAACAGAAAGGATCTATCAGAACAGATATTTGAATAGCCACCAATGTGATGCTCTATAGTTCCTAATGGTGATTAGATTCTATAGAGCGATTTGTGGTGTGACTGTTACTCCAAGTGACTTGAGATTACATTAGATTATATTAGATGTTTGGCGATCATCAACAATAGACAAGAAATTCTACCTCTAAATATCATGAAAAATCGCTTCACTAACGATGCCTATACCATAATACCATAACATCAGTCCGTGACCTGTTGATCTGATTTACAAACTATAGTAAATTCTTAAGGTTAAGTGTATTAATTCACCTAACAGTATACATAGCACTACTCATTAACAGCTTTCAATAATAATAAACTCATCAATTATCTAATTTAAACAGAAAATTATACATGGTTTATTTGTTATAACACTTTCCAGTGTTATATTTTAATCATAGAATACTTATCTGATAAACATAATGTTAATTGTACTACTTTTGAGAAGAGGCATCATTACATAAATTGTTTTTGAAATAGACTTTTTCGAAAAGATTGTTCTTTTTTGTCATTTTGTCTGTCTATACTAAAACTAATTTGATGTAATACATATCAATATGTCAGTAAAATAAGTTAATTGATGCCATTTCCTTTTAGTTAATCTGAATGTGAAAACAGATTACATTTTGGGAACTAATAAAACAAAACAACGGTAAGTTGTCTCGTCTAAGTTTTAAACTCATTAGTAGTGCCAGCCCACAGCCATACACACAACGGAACACATATTAGACAAAGACAATACAAAAGTAATATTTCATTTCTTCATATATGGTTGGGTTAGTGAGTTTTCGTTTAGATCCCTGTCGAGTTGACTCTGAATTTCATGATATCTCAGTGTTGAGCAGTTAGAATGAAATATCTTTCCAGATGGGGACTGGGACTTTCATTTCTCCAAATGGTAGGGGAAGAAAATTTGTGAACTACTGAGGCAATCCCTTGTGATTTTCTCAGTAATTAGGTACGTAATAAATTGTAAACACATGAACTAATAAGTGCACGCGGTAAGCAAACAAAATTAATTAATTAAAACGAATATAAAACAGGAAAATTTATTGGAAAAACTGCAAGTTTGAATAAATAATGGCCCAAGCAGTTTGAGTAGGCTGTCTTATAATCACTATAGTACACGTTTGAGCATTGTACGGAAATTACTTATTTCTGTCTAAGAATATTTATCCTACTACTTCTTATGTTATTTGCCCAGACAACTATATTCTAGTTCTAAATAGATTAATATATTTGTAATATGCTAATGAATAGAAAGATTAGATTTTCTGGGATTTTACAGAGATATTAAGTTATTTATAACAATCTATCCAACGCTCGATTTATTCGAAATCATCAAGTCAAACCTTGGTAATGATACCTATATTCTAGTTCGTTCGAATTGTATGTTCTTCTCATACTTATCCACTCAGACAATCAATCATGAGATCATGGATCATATGATCACTTTAATGAATAGAAATATGAACCGTAAAGAAACCTGGAAGCACTGGACGATCCTAGGATGAAATGGCCGTCCAGTGCTTCCAAGTTTCCAATGGTGGTCTAACACTGATTGATTCATAATCTAAATCAAAAACTCAACAATCTGCACAACCCCATACTGAAAAAAGTAATATCATAATAACGGTTTTATGTCAATGACTTGGGAGTGATCGTCAATAAACTTAAATTAAGAATATTTTGTTGACCGTCTCCAATCACATATAATCAAAAATATGTCCAATGGAGTTTTATATCACTTGGGCTATTGGCCAGGTTTCAATTTAATCGATGCTTTCAACCATACCGCATAACTGTAGTGCCTACTAAATGAAAAATTAGTATAATAAGTGTTACGTAACTACAAACCATATATGTCTTGACTTAGAAAGTGTAGATAATCGGATGAAGATAAACCTATATTTTTGTAAAACATTTTATTAATTTGTGAATATGATCATTGGCCTGTTTTCTT